ATTGTAGAGATGAGGTCTTACCACGTGGCCCGAACCTGCAGGCTCAGGCAATCCACTCACCTTGGCCTCGCAAAGTGCTAGGATTACAGGCTGAGCCACCAAGCCCGGCCTGTTTTGTTTTTTTTTTTTTCATTTAAAATTATTATTTATGCCGGGCACGGTGGCTCAAGCCTGTAATCCCGGCACTTTGGGAGGCCGAGGCGAGTGGATTGCCTGAGCCCATGGGTTCGCGACCAGCCTAGGCAACATGGTGAGACCTCGTCTTTGCAATAAATAAATAAATAAATTAGCTGGGCATGGTAGTGCGCACCTGTCGTTCTGGCTGCTTGGAAGGCTGAGGCGGAAGGATTGCTGGAGCCCAGCAGGTCGATTATTATTTATTTTTAGAGGCAGAGTCTCACTCTGTTGCCCAGGCTGGAGCACAGTGGCACACTCAGCGCTTACCACAGCCTCAACCTCCTGGGCTCGGGCGATCCTCCCGCCTCAGCCTCTTGAGGAGCTGGAACCACAGGCGCAGGCCACTACGCCCGGCTGATTTTTTTATTTATCACAGAGACAAAGTCTCACCATGTTGCTCAGGCTGGTCTCAAACTCCTGGGCTCAAGCAGTCCTCTCTCCTCTGCCTCCCCAAGAGTTGAGATGACAGGCGTGAGCCACGGCGACTGACCCTGGCCTAAATATTGGGAAATAAATGAAAAGTGTGTAACATCTACTATGGCAGAAGCACAGTTGTCTAGTGTGACTCTAGTTGCCGGACTGGGCGGCGATCCGGCAAGTCCTGGGCTAGGGCTGGGGTGACAGAGGGCTCAGGGAGTCTCTCAGGGAAACACGTGTGTATTGTTAACAACCTCCTCATCCATGCTGACAGACATGGCGGAATTAATGACTGAATGAAAAAGTGGAAGGAGCCCCTCGCTCCCTGTAGCCAGATGGCTTGAGGGGCGGGCTGGGGCCACAGTGATGGGGGAGAGATTCTGGGGGCTAAGAGCCTGGGCAGCGGGACCACCCACCCGGGGCCTCGGCTGTTTCAGGACTTGGCTGGTGCCCAGCCCGAACGTCCGGACGGTTCGGGCTCAGTCCTGAGGCGCGGGCGCTAGGGCGCGGCAGCAGGTGGGGCGCGGCTGGGGGGGGGGTCTGACTTCTGCCCCCGGCGCGCCCGGTCCCCTCCCCGCCGCAGGCTACGACTTCCCGGCCGTGCTGCGCTGGTTCGCCGAGCGCGTGGACCTCATCATCCTGCTCTTCGACGCGCACAAGCTGGAGATCTCGGACGAGTTCTCGGAGGCCATCGGCGCCCTGCGGGGCCACGAGGACAAGATCCGCGTGGTGCTCAACAAGGCCGACATGGTGGAGACGCAGCAGCTGATGCGTGTGTACGGCGCGCTCATGTGGGCGCTGGGCAAGGTGGTGGGCACCCCCGAGGTGCTGCGCGTGTACATCGGCTCCTTCTGGTCCCAGCCGCTGCTGGTGCCCGACAACCGGCGCCTCTTCGAGCTGGAGGAGCAGGACCTGTTCCGCGACATCCAGGGCCTGCCGCGGCACGCCGCGCTGCGCAAGCTCAACGACCTGGTGAAGC